TCTTTCTGTCTTTTTTTTTTTTTGGGGGGGGGGGTTGGGTTGTGGGGCCTGAACTCTGGGCCTGGGCGCTATCCCTCAGCTTTTCAGCTCAAGGCTAGCACTCTACCACTTGAGCCACAGCGCCACTTCGGCTTTTTTCTTTTTGCTTATGTGGTGCTGAGGAATCGAACCCAGGGCCTCATGCATGCAAGGCAAGCGCTCTACCACTGAGCCACCTTCCCAGCTCCTATCTTTCTGTCTTATCTTGATTAGAACCAAAGTTTATACTATTCTATATGCCATATGTAAAAAATGAACTTTCATTGTTGAAATTAGTGGTTAAGTACCAAAATGGATGTTAGAAATAGGCTCTCAAGGATAATATTAGTAATTTCCAAGGCTAGTGATCTACCACTGGAGCCTCAGCACCACTTTTGGCTTTTTAGTGGTTGATTAGAGATGAGAGTCTCATGAACTCTCCTGCCTGAGCTAGCTCTGAACCTTGATGCTCAGATCTCAGCTTCCTTAGTTGCTAGGATTACAGGTATGAGCTACTGTGGCTGCTTGGTTGTATCGAACTCCGTAAATTTTTTTCTATTTTGTATGCATGATCTCTATTACTTTCAGAATACCTCAGGAGGGAAGGTATAACTAATAATTAAATGATTAAATCCTCCTAAAATGCTGTGTAGTAGGTCTCATTTTACAAATGAGGAAAGCAAGGTGCAAGGAAATTTAATAATTAGCTTAAATAAAACAGAGGTCCATAGCTGGTTCAGAACCATTGTCTTAGCTTTGGTAATACCTGCGAGAGATGCTGTTAAATAGTGCTAACTTAAGACCTCGTGTTCACATAAAACAGGAAATTGGGAACTATATCTGTGTGTAAGAAAAGGAACACAGGAAAAGTCATGAAGACTGGGCTTTGCTTCTGATATCTGAAATAAGTGGGAATAAGACTCAAGCACAGAAGTGAGCTTAACATGACACAAGAATAAAATCTCTTGCTTGATACAACTTTTGCTGGGGTCAATAAGAGAAATGAGTCAGCATCCTGAAGATCTCGAATCTTGAGAAGTGGAAAAAACCCCAGGGATATCTTTGCAAGTAGTGAATCATATAAATTCCTTATTTTCTTTCTTAGTATTTGGTAAATCAGCCAGCCATGCAGGAAGTCTGCCCCAATGTTCACTGAGTGCTTTTTAAAGAAGTACTTCTTCTGGGCTTAAGGTCCCTAGTTATCAATATCAGATAAGGATTGTCTTGATTTTAATGTTTGCAAGACTAGGTTCTCAAAAGTGTTCTGTGAATTCCATACACTATCCACTAATGGGAAAAGCCATTTGGAGAATGACATCACCACTTCCAAATTCCATGCTGGAGTTTTAGGAGTAATTAGAGCTGTAGCACTGAGGAAGTCATTTAGGGGCAACTGCTTGTTCTGTGACTAGTCTTGCGCAGCTGGTCTCAACCTCCTGGGACTCTTTCTGAGCCATAAAATTAAGGTAGAACCTCTCACTTCTGTTTGTGAATCCATATGGTTCTACCAATTACTTCTGACACATCCAGGCAGGAAACTGCACATATTTACATAAGCTACAAGGCTGTGCAAACAAACTCTTTTTTTTTTTTTTTTTCTCAGTTGTGGGGCCTGAACTCTGGATCTGGGCACTGTCCCTCAGCTCTTCAGCTCAAGGCTAGTGCTCTACCACTTGGGCCACAGTGCTACTTCCGGCTTTTTCTGCTTTTGTAGTGCTGAGGAACTGAACCCAGGGCCTCATGCATGCAAGGCAAGCGCTCTACCACTGAGCCACTTTCCTAGTCCCAAACTCTTAACTAGTAAAGGGAATTTATAAATGATCCTCCACATCACTCCCTTTCCATCTCTTCTTTTCCTTCTTTGTGCCAAAACTGTTGCTTGAGCTCACACTCTTGCTAGGTTTTTCCCAAAAGCTCATGTCTCCATTTCTCCAGTTTCAGCTTTTTGCTAGTTAATTAGAAATAAGAATCTCACTGTGTTTATCTCTGTGGGTAGTCTTTCAACCTTGATCCTCATATCTCAGCCTCCTGAATAGCTAAGACTACAGGCGTGAGCCATTTTAATGGGGCTTACACATTTAAAGCCAGTTCCATATTTATCCCTATTCTCAATGCTTTCCATAGTAGTTTCTCTCTGTACAACACCAAGCTCTCTTAACTAACTCTATGTCACTTTTATCACTGTTTTTTAGTTTCACTCATTATTTCCTGGTTTTCACAAACTGCTGATTAGATAAGAATTTCTATTTTTTTTTTTCATTAAGGTGTTCAAAGGAGTGGTCCTTTGAAACACACTTTTTTTTTCTTTTACTTCTTTGGGCTCCACCTTAGATATGGTAAATTTTGATAAATTTTTATGCCACACCAGCTTTTCTACTTCTGGTTTTACAGAGGTCAGTGAAAAATGGATTAAAGCAATGGCTAGATCCTGCACTTCTTACTGTTCAGCAAAGTCATCAAAGAATGTGTTCTGGCTCAATTATACCGCGTTAGCATTATCCAATCTTAGTTTGAAAACAAAATCTTCAGAAAATGTTAAACACTAAAAGCTAGTATCTTTTCTTAAATATAGTTTTTCTTATGATATGTAATAGTAAATTGAATTTCTTTTTACAAAGATTGGAATGCCCAAAGGTAAAGAAAATGGAGTTATTGCCAATTAATCATTTCAAATAACTGATTTGAAAGTATAACCAAAAGCCTTGATCATGTTCCTATTTTCTTTTTTCTTAGTTTTCAAATACTGGGTAACTGACCTTTAAAGTGTGGCATGTTCTCTATGCCGGAGCCAAGATCAATTCACAGGAATATATTTATGCAGCTAAACTTACAATTAAGTTTGCTAAAGAAGATCCAGAATGGAAACAGGCTCTTAACAATACAGTTAAACATGAACTGACCACATGAGTTTTTACAGCATCAATATAAATATACAAAAGGATCATATCAGTTTGTTTTATAGACTATAAAACTGAAGGAATAAGGAAACAACTGTGCTCAATACTGGAGCACCTACTTGGGGAGTGACATATTTGTAGGAGTGTTAGAATAAATCTAAATAATCTAGTTATTACCCTTCAAATGGTCACAATCTGGTGGCCATGAAAAAGGCAAACATAAAAGATACTGGGCAACAGGTTTGAAGATAATTTGTGCTCAAGGTTTTTTGTTTTGTTTTTTATTTTTTGGCGGTCATGGGGCTTGAACTCTGGGCCTGGGCACTGTCCCTCAGCTCTTCAGCTCAAGGCTAGCACTCTACCACATGAGCCACAGAGCCACTTGCGGCTTTCTGAGTGGTTTATTGGAGATTAGAGTCTCACAGACTTTCTTACCTGGGCTGGCTTTGAACCGCAATCCTCAGATCTCAGCCTCCTGAGTAGCAATGATTACAGGCATGAGCCACCGGTGCCCGGATTGTGCTCAAGGTTTGAGAAGGGGTTTTGTGGAATCTGAGGCAAGCCTTAATTAGTTATGGGTGTTCAACCAAGATGGCAGGGCAACAGAGAAAATAATAAAAGCAAAGGCATAGGAGTAATATAGGATGGGGATTATTTACTATCGCAGAGCATTTAACGGTATGGGAGAATAGGAGACAGAGAAGAGCAAGTGTTCAAAAGAGTTTGTAGACACACTTGAATGTCAACTCTATAGCAATGCAGAGTAGAGTGGTGAGGCAGGAACTCACTTAGGATGCCATTCCAATGGTTCAGGAAAGAGCTTATGAAGGCTCAAACTGAGCAGAAGATAGTATAGAAAGGTAATTGTCTGAAAGATTGCAGAGGTATAGTCTAGGTAATGTGGCAACTTGTTGGACACCAACTATGAAAAGGAGGTTGAGTTGAAGATATTTCTGATGCAGTAAATCACTTTACATTTCAGCTATTCTTGGGCTAGACACAAGGACATCTTTGTTAAGGAGGTGGAAAGACCAGTCTAATGATCAAGACAAATATTGATGTAGAAATCAACCACAGATAGATGGTTGAATTTGTGCAAGAAATTCCGGAAGAATAACGAGTACAAAGAGGGAAAGGACAAAAGGAAACATAATGAAACACTTGTATTTTAAGATAGATTTAGAAGCTTCCTTTCCCCCGCCCCCCCCTCTCCATACTATATATATCTATGTATATATATATATATGTATATTATATATTTTTTAGATTTTTCTTTTTTCTTTAGGCAATTACCTTAATCATCTTCTAGGTCTTCTTTGTGGCCCTGAGCTGCGGTTAAATTCGAGGGCTTCAAATGCTGGTATTACAGTGTGTGTGAGAGTTTAACGTCTCTAAACCTTGCTTTCCTTGTGTGCAAAAATCGGGATGGTGATTCCTACTCACTAGAGTCTAGAACAGTGTGTAAGATGATGAAAGTAAACCCTGAGGACAAAGCCCTCAAAGGCTAGATTCATTTCACTGTTTGGGGAATTTGTAATTTCCCCGAGGGCAGAGGACTATTCTAACACTGTTCCCTAGGGCAAACAGCACTGACCTGGGCTCAGTACACCACACTGCCAGCCCTTAGGAAAACACCTGCAGGAAGAGAGTAAATAAATGACAGGTTCCACCCGACTACAGCACGGCAGCAGTGCTCCAGGGCAAGACACGCTCCCTGACCGTCGGTAGCCCTTAGAGGACTACAAGTCCCAGAGTGCAATGCGCCACACAGCTCAGAAATTTAGAGATGGGGTGGGGGGTAAGGCAAAGGGGAGCCGAGAAAGCAGTGCATGTTGGGACGCGTAGTCTCCAGGTGGTAACTCGCGGGGTCGGTGGTGGGTCGAAGCGCGGGGTCCCTCTCGAGTCCCGCCTTTTGTCCACGTCTCCCTTCTGCTGGCCAATGCCTTCTCCCACTTCTGGGACCAGCCCCTCTCCGACGCAGTCCCCATTGGTTCTGAGGCCCAACGCCTGAGCCTCTACCCGGAAGTCGCGTCGGGGAGGCGGTTTCCTAGACTACGACACCGGAAAGCTGGGGGAGGCGCTCCTGGCGGCGGAGGGCGGAGGGCGGTGGCGGCGCTGCCGCTGGAGACCGGCTCGGTGGCTTTGGCAAACAGTTTGGCGCCGGCGGCCGCCCGCCTCGCTTCCCAGTCCGCCGGCGGCCCGGCTTGCAGCCCCCTCGTCGCCGGCGTCCGGCAATGTGTCCCGCCGCCCGAGCGTAGCAGCCGCCGCGCGTGCGCGGAACCGCTGGGCCATGAGCGCAGCCGGCGGCGGCCGGGACTGGGGGTCCCCGGTGCCCCAGCGAGCGCCCTGGAGCCTGGTGGCAGCCACGGCCGCGCTCTGCCTGCTGTCCGCCACGTCGGTGAGGACGGCGGCGGCCGCGCCCATGAGTCGGGAGGAGAAGCAGAAGCTGGGGTAAGGGTGCCTGGCCGCCGGGCGCGCGCGCGCGTCTGTGGGGAGGGGTGGGCGCTGGCAGGTGTGGCTGGCCGCGGGCGAGGGTCTGTCATCGCCACCCGGGCTGGCCGGGGCCTCGGCTGCCGGGATCCGAACCGCTGCCGCCGCGCCAGCACCGAAGCGGGTGGACCGGCCCGGGAAGCCGGGGGTGAGAGCTGGCGACGTGACCTCCGGGGATGCGGGGCTGTCCCCCGGGCTGCTGGTGACACGTGCGGGGCTGACACCCGCGCCAGGGTCCCCGCTGGCTCTTCCACAGAGGCACGGTTGGATTTCTTAACCAAAGTGAGCCACCAGCTGGGGGGAAAAATGTTGCTCATCTCGCCCTTAGTGAAGGAAGTGGGGTTTACTAAACACCTGTTAGGGAAAAGGGGGCGTCCATTTGGAACTGGGACTTTGCCTTGCCAGGTTTCCCCCCCTCCTGCACAGCATTCTCGTAGCGGAACAGACTGATGGTATAACTCAGAAGCCCTAATCGACCATTATCTACTTACTGAGTAGTTTTTCATCAGTCTTGGAAGTGTCATCAAATATCCGTTCCGTTTGCACCGTTGAATTCAGAATCAGTAATACTGATAGGCGAGAGATCCCACGGATAAATAATAATTACAATGAAGCTGAGAGTTAATAGAAAGTGGACAGAAGCATGAACAGTTAAGTCAGGAGAGGAAGTGCAAATAGGTATTAAATACGAAAAGTTACTCAGCCTCATGGACGGGAGAGATAAAGATTAAAATAATGAAGTGGTGCGATTTTGCCCATCAGATTGCAAAATATAAAACACGGGAGACAGTACTGGCTAGTTGAGATGTGAAAAAATAATTTGGTAATAGTGTAATTTAATGTAACTTAATTGAGGATGTCTCAATATATATATTGAGATATATTTTTTTTAACTCATTAGACTTACCTCTGCGTATTTACCTTACGGAAGTACAAGCTGCTAGGAGATAGGTGTACAGGATGTGGATTGTGCATTTCCTGGAAAGAAATGGTTGGATATGTTTCACCAGATTAAGGAAGCGATCTTTCATTAGAAATCTATCCAGGATATTTTCCCAAGGCAAAACAAAGCTAAAATGGAAGTTGTAGAATAATATAGAGAAACTACTGTGCCATGTTTTGTTTTAAGAGAAAAGAATATTATCTAAGCCCAGGTTAAAAAAATGGAAAGATAGTTTAATTCGTGTAAAAATGAAAGGGAAGTTGAACCATTTATATATATGTTTATTATTTATATATTCTATTTGAATCATTACAAGATTCAGACTCATTTTTAAATAAAATAGCAATAGAAGTCACTGAGGAAAAAGGTGAAGTATCAACTGTGAAAAAGCACTTATCAGTTAACTTTCCTGAGTACCATATATATATATATTTTTTTTTTTTTTTGAATTGAAGGTATCACTGATGACTGTTTTACGTAATAACCCCACTTTAGGAATTTAACACAGTTATGTGTGTAACTCTTCCTATTTCATCATGAGGTGGCTTTCTTCTTTGCAAATGAAGAAATTAAGATTTAAGGTCAACTTGTTTAAAGTTGTTAAGCTAGGAATTGGTAGAGCCAGCTTTAAAGCCAATTATTGTGTCTGACCCTAGGACCCATCATTCTCTACAGTGCTGCATTTCCTTAAAGCTAGAAGAAAAGTATTAAATCTGATAAGAATTGCAAATATTTTATTTGACATACTACCACCTACCTCTCTCGTTTTATTATAATTTTTTATTAATAAAAGAATTATTAGATAAGTAACTTTTGACTAGAATTTTTAACTGGAAATGCCCAAATAGATTGGCTTGAGATTTCAGCTCATCTTTTGAGCTCATTTTCAAAAGTAAAATTCCAGTTATTGAGGCTTGTTGCTTGGTAGTATTTAACTTTGTAATTAATATTTTGTACTTGTCTTTGTTAGGACTTAAATATGTTAGAGAACAGCTGGGTATTAAGTAGGTTTGCCTATTATGAAACTTGCTGAACCATATGCTGCATATATGTAAGATTGGAAAACAATTGTATCCTATGCAAATTTACTCATAATTTAAAAAATTTGGTACTGCAAACTTGAGTTAGGAAGTTAAAACATCTGTCACCAGTAATATGTATTGCACTACCATCACCAAGTACAGGAGTGCCTAATTCTTGGTATTTTGTATGGATCTCATTTCAGGGAAGGGAAAAAAATAGAATTTGAATTCCATTCATTAATATCAGCACTTGAAAGAGAAAGTTTTCATCATTTAATTTATGCCTTTTGTTGCTAGCTTGAGAGATCTTTGTCATCCTCAGCATAGCAGATGCTTATTGGGATTCTTTAAGAATCTCCGTAATTTTCTGAGCTCATTTGATCCATATTCTATAGTTATATGTGTATATGTGTGTGTAAGTTTTTATGTGTATATATACAAGTATATATGTACATACTTGTATTTATATACTTATATGTACATATACATAAAAATATATAGATGTTTATATTTAGTTTATATATTATATAAACACAATATACCAGTATACATATACATTTATAAAGAATTAATGTTTTAGCAAAGTGATGGTGAGATTTTGTTTTGATAGTTAGGTGTTGTTTAAATGGTTACTCAATAAATTTGTTAGGGTTTAATATTTGTAGGTCATAATCTAGTGCTTATAGCTAGGGTCTGGAAATTAGGCCTTTTCTGTCTGCTTGCATTATTACCAGCATTTCATCATCTGGTAATATAGGCCTTCCCCTGCCTCCTCCTTTTTGGTGATGGTCCTTGGGCTTGAATTCAGGGCCTAAGTGCTGTCCTTGACCTTTCTCAAGGCTGGTATTCTACCACTTCCAACTTTCTGTTGGTTAATTAGAGATAAAAGAGCCCATAGACTTTCTTGCCCAGGCTGGCTTGGAACTGCAGTCCTCAGATCTCTGCCTCTTGAGTAGTTGGAGTTACAGGACTGAGTCATTAACACCTGGTTTAGGATTACAGATTTTAAAATGACAATGGAAGTACCATAGGAAGCAAAAATTAAAATACAAGGAATCATTTTCTGTAAGCTTTTTTTTTCTTTTCCTTTTTTTTTTTTTTTTTGGTTGGTCATGGGGCTTGAATTATGGGCTTGGGCGCTGTCCCTGTGCTCTTCAGCTCAAGGTGAGCACTCTACCACTTGACCACAGTGCCACTTCCAGTTTTCTAGTGGTTTATTGGAGATAAGAGTCTCGTGCTGGGTTGGCTTAGAACCTCAATCCTCAGGTCTCAACTTCCTGAGTAGCTAGGATTACAGGTGTGAGCCACCCAGCTGTAACATGTTTTTTTTTTTTAAATTGTTACTATCAGCAACTGGAAGTTTACAGAAAGAAGACTTAGTAAAAGATTGTTTAGTTATTTTCCTGATTATTGATTTGGTTTTGTCTATCACAGTGCTAATTATAGTAGTTTTTCCTGTACCACTCAAGCCCCTGATCCTGAGTGTTTTCGTTGACAGATTGATTTCCTATCCCAACTTCCTGCCTTATGGGTTTTGATTTAGTAAACCTGGTATTGGCATCTGAAATCTCCATTTAACGGGCTTATTGTAGATTTGAGGAATAGGCTTTTTTCCCCCTCTCCCTCTTGTCTGTCTCTGTGTGTTATTTCATTTATTTTTGAGAGGAGGTCTCACTACATAGACCAGGGTAGCCTCATTGCAATCAAACTGATTCAGTCTCCTGTGTGCCGGGATAAACCTCATTTTAGAGGTGGCTACTATTTTTTGTTTGTTTGTTTTTTGGAGGATGCAGAGTACATCATAAATATATTTTTTGAAAAACATGACAAGTATTAATATGTATGCACTTAAATTAGGAAAGTGTGTGTGTGGGGGTGGGGGGAGTGGAATACTGGGGCGTGAACTCAGGGCCTGGGTGCGTTCCTTTTGCTTTTTCAGTCAAGGCTGGCATTCTGCCTTTTGAGTAACAGCTCCACTTGTGGCTTTTTGATTAAGTGGTGATAAAAATCTCTAGGATTTGTCTGCTCAGGCTGGCTTCAAATCTCTATCCTCATATCTCAGCCTCCTGTGTAGGTAGGATTACAGAGGTGATCTATTGCCCCCCTGGTGGCATTATTCGTTTGGTTCAGTTTAGTGAGAAAGGCAGAGGATTAATGAAGTATTATTTTATGGCTGGGTAGTGCATCACACCTATAATCTCAGCAAGTCTAAAGATGGGTGGGAGTTGTTGCCCATTTCAGGCAAAAAGCATGAGACTATATCTGAATAATAACTAAAGGCAGAAAAGACTATAGTATGGCTCAAGTGGTAGAGATCCTACCTAACAAGTTCCACACTATGAGTTCAAACACAGAACTGACAACATTTTTTTTTTTTTTTGGGTCCGGTCGTGGGGCCTGAACTCTGGGCCTGGGCGCTGTCCCTCAGCTCTTCAGCTCAAGGCTAGCACTCTACCACTTGAACCACAGCGCCACTTCTGGTTTTTTCTTATGTGGTGCTGAGGAATCGAACCCAGGGCCTCGAGCATGCAAGGCAAGTGCTCTACCACTGAGCCACCTTCCCAGCCCCTGACAACATTTTTTATCAACACACACACTTGTTTCTGTCATTTGGTGGCAAATATAATAATAATATATAATTATGTATAAAATATAAGAATAAATGGTACCAATAATGGTTACTTTTGGGGGCTCTCTAGCAATGCAATATTCTTCCTTCAAGACAGATTAAATAATTACATTAAGAGCTGCAGTAATTGCCTTTTAGTGTCAGTTTTTCTTATGATCATAGCATGCATCTTTTAGTAGTAGTATTGGAAAATCTCCAAGATCCATTTAAAAAAAATTCTAGGCCTAATAAAATTTTGGCCCAGCATTGCGAGTGAGTTAATGAAAACTTTTCTACTAGCTGGTCAATTTTCTGATTCTCTTGGTATTTCCTTCTAACTTTTTAAATTCTTGGTAGTGTATTTTTATAAAGGAATATCAACTTTTAAAAACACAGTAAATGGAATATACTTAACTTTTCTTCATTTCTTTCTCCCCTTCTTCCCCAAATTAGGAATCAAGTCCTGGAAATGTTTGATCATGCTTATGGTAACTATATGGTAAGTAGGAAGCTTCTCTTTATGTCCCATTTTATGAACTGGTTGTGTGAACACAGTCAAGTGAAGATTTTTGAACCTGAATTATTAGCACTTTTTAAAAAAATTCAATATTATTGTACGCATTTTATATGTACAGAGGGGTTATAATTACATAAGTAAGGTAATGCATACATTTCTTGTCAAACAGTGTTAACCCCTTCCTTGTTTCCTTCCTCTTTCCTTTCTCCTGTTCCCCCAAACTTTCTTCACCCCAAGTTGTAAAGTTCATTTCCATCATAGTGTCTTGTGAGTATCACTGTTGCATTGGTTCACCCTTTGTGTTTTGTCTCTCCATTTTGTTACTTCCTTCCTCAAATCAGATGTATGTATACACAAACGTATATACAAAATGTATACATTAGACACAGGGTACCAAAATAAAAAACAGTGACAACAGAGGATAAACCAGAGGGGAAAAAAAGAAAAGAGAAATAACATAGTACATTAAAAAAAAAACAACAAAAAACACACAAAAAAAACCCTTGTTTATATATCGTGGAGTTCATTTCAATTAGCTTTTTTGCCCGGCTCAATTAGCATTATTTTATATGGTCATATATACATAGCTATTGAGCTACTGTGATCCTCTGCTAAGACTATGAGGGAAACCATGGAATTTACGTTTCTTTGGGTCTGGCTTACTTCAATTAATATGATTTTTTTTTTTCCAAGTCTTTCCATTTCCTTACGAATGGATCGGTGTCATTTTCTGATAGAAGCATAGAATTCCATTTTGTGTGTGTGTGTGTGTGTATTACATTTTCTTGATCTATTCATCTGAGGGACATCTGGATTGGTTCCATATTTTAGCTATGGTAAATAATGATGCAGTGAACATAGTTGTGCTGGTAGCTTTAGTGTGGCCTTGTTTGTGATCTTGGGTAAATACTAACATTTTTTTAAAGAATGCCTTTAAAAAGCAGGACAAATATAAGCTAACAGATTATTCCTAGTAGTGGTTCTTAGAGAATTAATTATTGAATATGTAAGAAATGACTGAAATTAGATTATGCAATTTTTTTTGGGGGGGGTCCGATCGTGGGCCTGAACTCTGGGCCTGGGCTCTGTCCCTCATCTCTTCAGCTCAAGGCTAGCATTCTACCACTTGAGCCACAGTGCCACTTCCGGCTTTTTTTTTCTGCTTAATGTGGTGCTGAGGAATCAAACCCAGGGCCTCATGCATGCAAGGCAAGCGCTCTACCACTGAGCCACCTTCTCAGCCCCAATTTTTTAGGTACTTTTTTTTTTTTTCTTCTTATGGTCCAGTCGTGGGCCTGAACTCTGGGCCTGAACGCTGTCCCTCAGCTCTTCAGCTCAAGGCTAGCATTCTACCACTTGAGCCACAGTGCCACTTCTGGCTTTTTTTTTTCTGCTTATGTGGTGCTGAGGAATCAAACCCCCAGGGCTTCATGCATGCAAGGCAAGCGCTCTACTGCTGAGCCACCTTCCCAGCCCCAATTTTTTAGGTACTTTTTTTTTTTTTCTTCTTTTGGTCCAGTCGTGAGCCTGAACTCTGGGCCTGAACGCTGTCCCTCAGCTCTTCAGCTCAAGGCTAGCATTCTACCACTTGAGCCACAGCGCCACTTCCGGCTTTTTTTTTTCTGCTTAATGTGGTGCTGAGGAATCAAACCCAGGGCCTCAAGCATGCAAGGCAAGCGCTCTACCACTGAGCCACCTTCCAAGCCCCAATTTTTTATACAGTTTACTTGGGCATTGTGAAGTGTTCATTGAGTGAATGCTTTATATAACTGGATATTGTAGAAGTCAACATGAAAAAGAAGTTATAATAGTCTTTAAAGGAAATTCATGCTCAAAACTAGTTAAAAGAAGCTACAATATTATTTTATATACTCATGAAGAAAACCATTAAAAGAGGTCAACCTAGCCTCTATTCACATTCTATTCTTGTGCACTTTGAATTGAACATGTTTTGCTTCCTGCTATGTTGATCTTAATGTTCTAAGTTTCCTGGAGCACCTTTAAGATAAATAGTATTTTAGCTTTATTAGATGAAACATTCTACCTCAAGGAAACAAAGAAAAAGGGAAGATCTAAAGATTGGTTACACGGCAATGTAGATAAACTAGCAAGCAAATTTTGGGGCTCAACAGAAAGTTTTACATATAAATTTCACATATAAAGAGTTTTAAGAGTAAAATAAAATTTGAAGAGTAAATATTTTGGGGCTGGGAAGGTGCTCAGTGGTAGAGTGCTTGCCTTGCATGCATGAGGCCTTGCCTTGGGTTCAATTCCTCAGCACCACATAAGCAGTAAAAGCTGGAAGTGGCGCTGTGGCTCAAGTGGTAGAGCGCTAGCTTTGAGCTGAAGAGTTGAGGGATAGCGCCCAGGCCCAGAGTTTAGGCCCCATGACCAAAAAAAAAAAGAGTAAATTCTTTTTTACATATAAATTTTAAAGAGTTTTAATCAGATTGTCTTAAGAATTTCTTAACTTTGTTTTTACACTATACATGTATCAGATTTTCTTTTATGATTACAGGCTATAAAATGTAGTTAGCCAAAGTTCAGCAGGGAACTTTTAATTCTACTTGAGTTTTCAGTTAGTTTTCTGGATACATTTTCATTTATATTAGCAAAACATTGTCATACATCAACATTATTTTTATATGTGCACATCTAAGTATATATACTTTATATTACTTAAGCATAATTTTTTAAAAGAAATTTAGTAGTCCTTGCCATCTTTTATATTTTCATTTGGTAAGGCACTTTTTAGATTCATTTCTCCAGGTATTACCTTATTCCCTTAATACTTCTTTCAAAATAATTTATTTCTGGGCATTTCAGTTTGGACAAAGTAAAATTGAGCAACTTTAGGCTGATGATTTAAAAATGAAAAAGTGGGCTTATGCTATATTGCTTACAATGTAGCCATCTTCTAAGTATATATTTCTAATTCCAAAGTTAAATAAAATAATACACAGATTAGTGACTTTATTATATATTTCTAGGAATAAGAACTTGTCTTTATAAACTGCTATCATTAATATCTTATTTCTTGTAGGTACACAGCAGAACATTATGTCAGTTTAGCTTTTTCCTATGTAGAGCATAGTAAATTAATGGGTTTGTGATGAGCAGATAGTAAGTGCAGCTCTCATAGGACTTTTTTGGCTTATTTACTCTTGTGACCTAATTGGATTAGTTTTGGCTACAACTAACTACTTATAAGACCTAAGTGAGAAGGACTTCAACTCCCAAACTTAGGAATTTCTGGAAGTAACATCCTCATCCACATTTTCTAAGATGAGGCCATCCTCATCTGTGTAATACATATTTTTAAATGTTGGGCTGTATTATAACATATGTAATACTTGTAAGTGTACTTGTGCTGTGCTCAGTCTATGTGATACTTGTAACTCAAGATTTAGTGTAGAATTTACCCTTTGCCTTTAAAGTTCTCAACTAACAGAACACTGTTCTAAAACATTAAATAGAGATCTAGGTACCTATTGTTACTTGAAGTTGAAGCAATTTCTTCAGCTTTTTATGCTAGGAAGTACTATTTGCTTCATATGGAGTGAAAGTGTAGAGATTATAGGGTTAGATGATTTTGCATTCGATTATAGGGTTAGATGATTTTGCATTCAAATCTTGACCTCTGTTTACAAGGTTGGTCCTTAAATGGGTCAGATAACTCCTCTGAGCTGTGTCTTAGCATTGTGAAAGGGAAATATTGCAAAAGATATTTATAGACTACAAGAGTTTTGAGAATAAAGACTTTTCTTAATTTTCGTTGTCTTGTTCTGTGTCCTCTGCCTAGCATGTTTGAATATAAATGCTTTTTTTTGGGTCAGTAGTGGGGCTTGAACTCTGGGACTGGGCACTGTCCCTCAGCTCTTCAGCTCAAGGCTAGCACTCTACCACTTGAGCCACATTGCCACTTGTAATTTTCTGAGTGGATTCTTGGAGATGAGTCTCACAGACTTTCCTGTCCAGGCTGGCTTTGAACCGTGATCCTCAGATCTCAGCCTCCTGAGTAGCTAGATTACTGGCGTGAGCCACTGGTGCCCAGCAATAAATGCTTTTTAAATGTTGTTTTTGAAAGAACTAAACTAAAAAACTAAATCTTCTTGTGAAGATCAATTTTTTTTTGTACTTGAGTATTATGACATATAAGATATTGCCTTTTTAAACTCAAAGAAATAACTTAGTAAGATTTTTTAAAAATTAAAACTTATGGTGAATTTCAGGTGGGGCCCATAAATCTCCTATTTAGTTGCTTACTGTACTCAAATGTCAAATCCCTGATACATGGTAAGCTTTTAATATTGAAAGCTTTTCTTCATGGCTTACTACTTTCTATTATTACTTTCTAGTCTACTCTACAATTAGGACAATTCCTTTAATCCTCTTGGTTCCCAGGAAAATAATAGCATTTTCCAAAGATATAGGTATAATTATGAACAAGCAGTCTGGACTTGGAACAGGATACCCTGAGGTGGCTAAGTCATCTACATGCCACCTACAAGCTGATAATGGAAAAGTTCCTAATCTTGAGCCTGTTTCCTCCTTTCTGTAAAACGGAGACAATAGTTTGCCTGCCTCACAACATGTTAGAACTAGGATCTGACAAATAGGAATACTGAATAAGAGTTTGCTTCCTTTGTGAGTACTATCAATTGACAGTAATTATTGCTAGCATCATTACGCATTCTCTGTCTAGGGCTGAAATTTCCTTCCTAAAAATTTATTTTGGTTTTAATTCATGACTCCCTCCTAAGATACTCCTTAAAACCCCTGCATTCTTTTCTTTCTGTCCTGGGAATGTGCTCTTTTTGGCTTACATTTTCTTTTCACTAATGAAATAATAGTTTCTCTCCTTGTGATTTCTCAATAAAAATGTCTTGATAGCTTTAGGTATATTACATCTTTCATTACTGGAGTTATAGCCAAGGATTTTTGGATTTTATCAGTTATTGGCATAATTACTAACACCTATT